TCTTTCCATTTCTCTGGCCTCTGAACACAGTGGCACACCTTACCTAGACACCTTCACTAAGATAAATTCAATTGCATAGATGTCATGTTTTCACATCCAGATGCAAAGAAGTCTCGATTCTACCTCAGTACTGATAAGAACAGTTGCTCTGTGAAAGTATCCGTCTTATACTTCCCTGCTTTCTCTCACTTTGGAAGCTGGACTCGCAAGTTAAAGAAGTCATTAAGCTTATCCAGACGCAACAAAAGAAAGAGTTTGCAACGGCAAACAGGAGTGTCAAATCAAACAGAGATTTGCCAAAGAGGCTTTGGCGAGTTGGTGAGGTCCATACCAATTTGGAGATTTCAATGCTCTCTTTCTTACTCCTGGGAAAATCACTGGACATGTCTGAAGAGGACAAAAGCACTAAATATGAAGAGAACAACTCAAGAACATTATGTAAGATTCAGCTAAACATTCCTTAAAGTGAAACAAAGTGGAATGTTGAAACTCACTAGTTCTATGTGTAACAAAGTGAAACTCGATACAGTTTTATGAGCAATTGTGAAAGCAGCTGGGTTTGCAAAGAGAATCTTAACTAAACAAGTCTATCTAGAACTATTTGACGAGAAAAAAAAGGAAATTAAACTGATTCACACTGATAAAACACAATTTTTTTTATCTGAACCCCACAATCAGTCAAATTTCCATGTCTGGATCAGCAATTGTCAGGACCAGCTGACCGTGAATATCCTGTGAGCCAATCAACTTTAAGACAACAAAACAGCATGAACTGGTTTTTCGCTTGAAAAGTTCAGGCTAATTACTGAGCAGCTCACCAATCAGACCACATCTTTCTTGAAGTGTATCTAAAATCACACTCTTCATTTTAAAAGTAAATTTAAACCAATTTATTTATCAATACCAAAATTAAACAGTTTTCACCAAAGGGTTAAACAAAGTACAATCTTGAATATTCTAATTGTACACCATTGAAAAACATTGTACAAAACAATACAATTTTAAAGAAATGAAGTATTGTAACAAGACCATGCACTAAAAACAAAACTGTAATAAGCCTCTTTTTCAGAGAATGAAAACATTCCATTATGAAGATACTGTAAAATCCCAGTTAAGTTTATGACTGTTAAATGAACTAGCCCATGTTTGATTGATCAAATTTACAGGACCTTTTAGCCATATTTAAAGTAGCCTGTAAAAAAAGGCAGTCAACAAAAGCTGTATTCTGTTGCAGAAAATTAAATGTGCAATACAATCATGAATAAATCATTTACATTTAATGTCAACATAAAGGCAGCCTTTTTACTTTATGAAGCAAGTAGCTTATCTGTGTGAGAAAAATTATTTATTATTCACATCCGTGTGATCGTAATTACTGTGAAAATGCATTGCAAATTCATGGGAAATCCAACTTAAATAGTCTTAGAATAGATGGCTTAAAAATGATTCAATTCAAAAGACTTTCTCTGCAGGATCCGCACTGACATCGCCCTCTGCTGGAGGCCAAACCAAATACAATTCTGAACGTTTCATAACAGCACTAAATAAGTACAAAAAGTTTATTATTGTTTTAAGATTTGATGGGCATGGGAATTTTACATTTCTTTCAGGCTTATTTGGGGGGAAAACACTTTCGGTGGGATAACAATTTATAATTTTTAATTGTTATTTGTAATGTTCAGATAAGCCTAAATTCAAAGAGTTTAATAAAGTGCAATAAATAAATAAATATACAAACAAACGTCAGGGAAAACGAACGGGTCACTGTAGATATAGGCTATAACTAAAAGAAATACAGGCTAAATATTTTGTTTAGGTTAGATGTCCTTATCCTGATAAAAGTTCTTCATATTCATGATGAAATGTTGTTGAAAGTACAGAAAAATAAGCATGGCTATAAAGCTAACATTAGTACAAAGTTGTCAGATATGCTTTAAATTAGATTTTAAATATCTAAATAAATATTAAGATTTAAATTGGGTAAACGCACAAAATGATCTCTCTCGAGAGAAAAAAAGCTGAACACCATGTCATTTCAACTCCTATAGCACAGTTCCGCAACCTGAGGCGAATTAACGCTTTGCATTTAAACCTTTTCAATGGTATGCCGATTTCTTGTGTTCGTCTTGTTCCAAATGTGGCCAACAACACAAGCCCGGTCATTGTAACAAGGCACTATTCCTCCCTCAAAAAGGCCAAGAATGATGGGAATTCAAGAAACGAGTATTATTTTGGAGGTGCCACCTATTTGCTGCTCATAAAAACAATATTTAGGTTGTGCTTGAGCGTCACCTCGCTGAATAGGCCCTATTCATGTGGGGTTAAGAGTGTAGCGTGGGTCCTGTGAAGAGGTAGCGTGGGTCCCTGTGTTTCGGGGAGTAGCTGTCAGGGCTTTCGGAGGAGCGGGAGAATAGGGACCCGCCAGAGTCTCTTGCTTGGGTTCGAACTGTGGTGATTTAACTGCATAATCGGATTGAAAGTGAGCCGCAGACTTTATGTCAGTTCACATTTCATCAAACGGCCAGTGTGAATTGAAGTCGACAGAACAGAGGGTTAATCCAGAACTAAAGCCAAAATAATTAGGGGCCCCCATCTAATCTGCTCATTCTAACACCCTTCAATGACATTAAAATATGGCAACGCTTGCTGTTGGCAGTCAAAAGTGTTCCCCAACTTTAAATGGGCCAATAAAAGCCCAGGCTTTACTGCAGGGAAAAGCAGAGGTTTGTTCATATAGGAACCAACATAGTTTTGGGTGTCAACCACAGCAGTGAATAATTCAAACAAGTTTATGCCATTTAAGACAATCTAGAAGTGTAAATGAATTGAAAATGAAATATGTTTTAAAAATTATTCTGTTAGATTTTGCACAAATATTAAATATAAAAAATATGAACTGGATTTCCTTCGAAAATTAGTTAAAAGCAATTAAGCGCATGTATTACATGTTTTTACATAACCCCAGTGTCCCGATATCTCTAATAGCACATATCAAAAGGGGAGAAAATTAATAACATATATCACTTTTTACTTTAATGTAGATACCAGCAAGGGCAAGCAAGTAATTAGAGCATAAACATTTTGTCACTTTATTGGAGAACTTTTCTTGGCCTATAAATCAAATATTTGTCCTTCAACATAATCTGCTCTCTTCATCCTTTTACCTGATTGCTTTTGAGCTTATATTGACCAAATATTGAAACTTAGAAAAGCATTTTAAAAGGAAGTGCAGTTTAGAATGTGTTTTTAAGATTTTTTTCATACCATATGCAGAGTATAATGGATAGATTGAGACTTTCATCCGTTTGCCAAATCATAAGCCAAAGTGTCATTATATCTGGAATATTCTAAAATGCTCCCCAAAAACCTCAGCTTTAGACCAAATCCTAACCATGGCCACTACCCAAACCCTGACCACAGCACAAATTTTAAAATGCTGGAATGTGAAGCGTTTGCTCTGAAGCACTTGGAATTGCATTGGACATTGTGAATTGTTCTTTAAAGACAGATTTTTTTTTTTACATGCACTTAGGCCACAATTTACAAATAAGATTCCTAGTTTTCATGCAACTGAAAACCTCTCAAACTTGCCCTCAATTCGATCAAACAATTCAATTTTATACTTAAAATTATATTATTATACTTATAACTCACAAAATATCATAAAGTGTACATTTGTCTGTCCATGTCTGGGAGCGGAGGAGAAGCAGGAAGTCAGCCCCGGTCAGGAATGTCAGACAGGAAGTCCTCCCTGTGTTTGGATGACTACTTCTGAAATAGACTTCCTGTTCCCTCCGATCGGTATAGGTGGTGTTTAATTTAAGGTGGTGATAGGGGAGGGTGACCACAAAATGCACAGCTGCATATCCTTCAACTGATAATACGTCAAAAAATAAAAGGCAGGGTGGTGTGTGTGTGTGTGTGTGTGTGTGTGGGAGGGGGTAGTTACAGATAAACTGACAGAGGCGACCCTTTTGTATATCTTATATACGTTTGCTCTGTAGTTATCAGGGATGTATCTCCACCCTTCTACGAGAAACTACATCCCTCCACATCTCAGTTCAAAGGGAACTATTAGCCTTGGCGGAAAAGCTCTGTTAGTCTGTCACAGTCCTCTGGTTATTATGGTGCTCTGCAAAGACAACAAAGTCTAGTCATCAGCTATTTTTAGCACATACTGCTGCTAAGGAAAAACACTAAAAGAAAAGCCTTCATATTTTGCCTTAAGGCGGCTTGCAAACTGTCAATAACCACAGAAGAATCTGAATCAGCTAGATGAAAATTTAAGTAATGTATACTGTATAGTAAGCCAGTCATTACTGCAAAATAGGCAGGGTAGTGAGTGACCAGTTAACCGTACATTATTTACAGCAGCAAACCAAATACATGAATAAATGGACATTAAATATTTATTTGAATTACAGTAAAGAGATAGAGTAAAATGTGAGAAAGTAAACTAGCATATCTCTGAAGGAAATCGTTTACCTTGAGCTATGGTCAACTACACAATTTAGACTGCAGAAAGCTGCAATTGACCAATCAGAATAATTATTCCAGACAGCTGAATAAGTATAGCCATTTTTGTTATAAACTTACATCAGAATCCATTTCAACACATCTTCACCAACAGTTGTGGGTACGACTTAATTTAGTCATGTTTGTAGTGCATGTGTGTGTTTGGCAGAGACCAGAGAAATGTAAACAGTCATGGGGTAAGTCACAGGCCAGGACACTTACACAAATAAACATATTCATTAAGGGGCCTCTGAACTTAGATTCCTCTCATGTTTGCTCTACAACCACCAGCTGTGGGTGATCACAGGACATTGGTAAGAACTTTCTGTAACAATACAAATGATTGCCCATGACTCCTGTCAAGCAACATACAAACTTTGTTCATTTATCCCAAGCACTTCCTCTAAAACATATTGGATTATAACTACCTCAGACACAGAGAGGCACTGTTGCACATGAAGGCCACCCCCACAGTCACCACTCACCATCTGGATCATTTAGAGGGCGGAGTGCCCGCTTTCCCTCCGTCCCTCTGACGCTGTCTCCCTTCCTCCCTTCCCTTCCTGCTGGCCTCTGAGCAGAGGATGTGTCTGGGAGTGTGAGAGAGGAAGGCTGGCGGTGAAGTGGGTATGTACCCTCTCTCTTCTTCCCCCTCGTTACTCTCTCTGTCTCTGCTGATTGCTTTATCTGGCGACACTGAGCAGGCCCTCTGGGCAGGGCAGTCTCTTAGTAGCGAAACGGTGGACGGTGGAACAACAAGCCTAAATGTCAGACGGAGATAAGAATGGCCAAGACAATCATGAAGGTACACAACCTTTCTGTTTGTTTGCAATGTGGAGAGGCATCTGGAAAGCATTTGCTTATAATGTCATAATGTTGCACTGGTAGAGAAATCTGTATATATATATATATATATATATATATATATATATAATATAAATGCAAGGCAGTAAGCTCATATGCAGCATGAACCAATCAGCTTGTGCCAAGTCTTTTAACTCTCTGAATATCAGCAGTTACATTAACAACCGTCAGCCTGCGCCATCTAGAGTTTCATGACTGAACTATATATTTCTTTCACTTTTTTCAGAAAAGACAAGTCAGAACACCTATATAGCAGCACCCTTGCAGCCACCTAAATGACTCTTTGATGCCATGGACCCCTAAATACATTGATCCTTAAAGAGTTAGTTCACCCACAAATGAAAGTTAGGCTGCGTTTTACTCACCCCGAGGCATCTTAGGTGATATATAAAAAGAATGAAAGAAATGTAATGAAAGGAAATAATTAAATATAAGCAGCATAAAGGTTTATGCCAGGGGAATGCTACATAATTGACCCCATAACATCCAGCCATACTTGACTTTTTATATAAAACAATATAAAACAGAAACTATGGGTTGAAGGACTTTAAATTTGGTCAAATGCATGCATTTGCACCAATTAGAGAAGTCACTGTTACTGTGACAACATGAATGACAGCACAGCAACACAGCTTAGTGACATAATTTGATCAGTCTCACAACACTGTTCATCAACTTTGCAGTCCCTCATATTCACAAATACTAAGAATATATATATTTTATTTTAATACTTATAAAAAAAAATCAAGTACTATTTTTATATTTAGTCAATACTGTATCACTTTGAAATTGTATCCTTACATACTTTCCCGTGGGTGTTTCAGCTCTTGAGCACCCATGGGATTGGGGAATACGAAATGGAAATTTTGAAACTTCAGACTTTGAAACGATCAGAACATCACTGAGTCATTCTTTGGAGAAGAGATCAATTCATCTGCTGAGCTTAAGACTTTGCTGATGTCAGAATAACTCTTTTAGATTTAGCCTTTTACTGGTTTAATTAATCTCTGTCTCAGGAACACCAGTATTTGTTCTTTTACACAATCAGCAATAACTTCAATTAAAACAGCTGCACAATTCGTTTCTATGTTGTGGGTTTAGCTCACTTGGCTCAGTAGCGTATCGGCTACAAATTTTTTCTGCATTTTGCCCTTGTCCCAGTCGAGGTGTGGCCAGAGCTGGAGAGAGCCGAGTGTTTGGCTCGGGGTGCTGCGCTTAAATGGGCCTCAGGTGTCTTTTGTCGTCCAGAGCATCTGGAGAGACTTGGACAATACAGGAAAAGGGAGAGTCAACGAACTGAGTCAATTCATTCAAGGTTAAAGGTAAGTAGTGATCATTATTTCACTTCAATTAGAAAGCCTCTAAAAAGTATTTGCCCAACAATGTCTACAAGAAAAGTCATCTGCTCACTTTTTGCTCACTGCATTTTTCTTAAGTCAGTTGTGCAGTCCTACCTGGAAAGTGTCGACTGGGGTCTTGGTCAATTGCGAGAGGCACGAGCTGAGCTGAGAGAAATATCTCATGACTTGCACAAGGCTAACCTGGAGTCCAGGAAAAATTCTGAAGAAGTGACTGCACTGGAGACACTTCGGGAGATTTCTGTCACTCACCGCCAGCTCCTTGCTGCAGTTAGCAACCTACCACGCCTCTATAAAGGTTAGTGATTCCCTGCCCTTTTCAGTGCAATGTATGTCCTTATTATTTTTGCATACCCTCTATGGATATTTTGGTTAAGCCTTCAATGCTTTAGAGCAGGGTGTCCAATCCTGGTCTTGGAGGCCCAACATCCTGTGTGATGAACATCCTGCCTAAGAGTGAAACATGCTCAAGTACTGTATATAAAAGTACTTGAAAACAAGCACTTCTAGCCAAGCAAGTTACATTTTTTGAGTCGCTGCATTCCAAAGTGTGGTCATTAATAATGTAACGCAAGTATGCACACTGCATCACCGCAATGGTGCTACAGCGGGTATAGTGTAAAATGTCTTGGACCCCAATTAAGTTTTTTCTTTTAAGTCTACTACTGTCAAAGCAGAGCAAGGATCTTGCTGAGCAACAAAATCGCTATTACATTTGACGTTTATAGCTAGCTAGCTAAATAATAACAAAGATCTTTCACCCACTTAAGTGCTGAGGTTTGTCAAAGTAATGCAAGATAAGTATATATGTACAGTTGTGTTATCATGTGTTGTGTCATCTCTTTCATGTCAGTGCGGAGTATGGTGCTAGAGACAGAGAGACTAGTGGAGTCCCGGAGATTATTGGAAGCTCATGCCCGACTAATGGAACTAGAACGCTGGCAGGATGAGGTATTGCTACAGCTCCAGGGACCCAGGGGATCGTCTGGGATGGGGTTAATCTCTGAGGATGAAGAGTTAGTGCGGAATTATTTCTCAGGTGTTGGATGCTTGGTGGATGCCCTTGCCAAGGAGCTCTGGGCAGTGGTGGGGAGTGGTTTGTCACTTGCCTGTCAGAACCCCACACTTTTTGTGTCAGCTGTACGGATAGTGGAGCGTGAAGAAGCACTAGATCAGATGTTTCTGGAGGAGCGGAGGTCAACATTGGGACAGAACACACCCATGCCCCCTGGGAGACCACGTTGCTGGAGGGACCTCTTCTTCAAGGTTTGATGATAAGCAAGTTTCTTATTGGTAGAAGTACCGGAAAAAAAGTTGTTTGTAAGATGACAAATAAACTTTAAGTGTAAAAAGGCTTTTTTAAAATTGACTTAATATGTACCTGTTTAAACTATTTGGTCAGGTGATGGAGGAGGCAGTGTCAGCACGTTTCCGTAGCGCGTCGTACTTGCACACTCGCGGACCAGGGCTTGCAAGTCACTTGTCTGCGCTACAGCACTGCATTATGGGAGACCTTTCAACAGTGCGACATTTTCTGGAACAATGTGTTCCACCTCACTATCATTTAACAAGAGCTTACCTGCACTTCTGCCACCAGTTCTTGCAGAACCATCTTGGACTGGTTAGTGGATGGGAGCTAGAGGGTGGGGAAATCTTCGCTGTTCTTAACTGGGTTCTGCATATATACAGCAGGTAGGTAAACACTATGCTTAAATCAGAATTTGGTGTATGGGTAATCAGAAAGTCCTACATGTGAGAATTTGTTCATTAAGCTCAGAGATGATGGGTGAGCCAGCCCTTGTAACTGAGCTAGACATTGAGGACCTGGGACCTCTTATATCTCAGGAAGGTCTCGAGCAGCTGCAGAACAAATATGTCCAAAAAGTTCGGGTAAGACCCAGGGAGGGGTTTTAGTCTCTAAACTTTTTAACATTTACATTCACTTTCACATTCTAGATTAACAGGACACAAGTTCTTGAAAAAAATGTACTGTGATTGTTTGTAGAAGAGTGTCTCAGAGTGGATGCACAAGGCTCTAGAGGTGGAGCTGACAGACTGGCAGAGGGATCAGGAACCAGATATTGACCATGAAGGCTGCTATCACACCAGCCTTCCAACCATGATCACTCAGGTAATCAAGCAATGGCTTGATCTACAATGAGCAAAATTTAGCTTGATATTGGCACTGATATGGCCTGCTCTGGTGTCTGGGTTGTTAGATGCTAGAAGAAAATGCACGGGTGGCTTTGATGATAAGTGAAGCTCTGCGGGACCAGACAATCCAAATGGGTCTTTATGAGATGGAAAACCTCCTCAGCCGGTGTGTATATTTAGCAATACCAGGATATCATAACTCTTATTGATTATATACAATATTTTGTACTTTCCTCTCATTACATCTAAACAGATTTCGAGATGCAATCATAGAATTTGGGAAGGAGCATCGCAGGGATTCAACCATAAACAGTAACAAGTTCTACCTCCATTATCTCCTGGCCTGCATCAACAACTGCATCATCCTCAAGTGAGATGGTGTACACGTATCTTTTTACAGTATGTCTGTATTTATGTGATGTTTGTTTGAAAATGTGTGTGTTTTAAATAGTTTTGTGTGCATTGGAGGTGCTTGTAAGCAGTAAGATTAAATCTCAGATTTAAATGCACATCTAGAACCTCCACAGAAAGCCTGCAGCAGCAGTTGTGCTCCTTCCCTTCAAACCGGTATTCTCGCATTTCACTTGGACCTCTGGCTGCCCTGGACCGTGCTGTGAGAAAGGCATGCCGCTTAGTCATGGACCATCTCTTGTTTGAGTTGCAGCCTCATCTGCAGGAGCTCCTGTCTCGTACCTGGCTGGACCAGGGAGAAGTAACCCCAAATATGTGTGGGGTTTTAGAACGTCACTGTGAACTTTACAACAGGGTGCGGCATCCTTGTCGCCAGGTTAGTGTTTACATCAGGCATCAGAAATTACATAGACCACACAGTAAAATGAGTGAATATCTTTACCAACAAATAACACCCAAATACCCTTTGTGTCATGTGATCTCCATCATCTACAGAGGCTAAAGGAGGAATGTCAATGGCTAACTGTTGTTGAGTATGTCCGTACACTGATGCAGAAGAGAGTGGTCTGCAGAAATAATGATGAGCGAAACCAATTTGCCCAGCGAATGAAACAGGATGCTCAGCAGCTGAAGGACCACCTTCAAAGCATGGTAAAAGCATATTTACATACATTTTTTGGGGGAGTCTCCCATTAAGTAAACCCAGATGCACAGATTCAGCTTTGACTGAAACATAAATGCTTAAAATGAGTTAAATTAAAATTAAAACAAACGAATAATAACCTAATTATTCATTCATTGCAAACCTGAAGCAAAGCTATTCATGAGAAACTGACTTGAACTTGAACAAAACCGGCAATTTATTGGATCTTATCAGGCTTGCAGATAGCAGACCTCTAGGAATAACACAAGAACAAGTCTGTATACGTTTGTGGAAATGAAATTACTTTAAGTATTTCACTCATGTAATGCCATTTTTACATTTAAAGGAGATCGATGGGACCATAGGTGAGGTGAATCCCACAGCTTTGATACTTGCACTGGCTGACATAATCAATTTGAAAGACCCAAACATGCTAATACTGGAGATTTCCGGATTGTTAACCAAGTACCCTGATATAAGGTGAGATTTCAAACCAAGCATACCCAGCATATCTAAATATTCTAAATTAATTTCTAATACAGAGATTAATCTATGGAAAGAGACTTACAAAGTGTGTTTTTCAGTGAGGAGCATGTCTCTGTCCTGTTGGATGTAAGAGGGGATGTACCCAAAGACGTGCGGAAGTCAGTACTAGATTTTCTGGAGCAGAGTGCCCCACCTTTACCACAAGGATACCGCCCTATGTTCACAGAAATCCTTGTGCCCTCTTCCAGCATACAATTTTGTCTGCCTACTGCAAAATGTACTTGAGAAGCACTCAGAGAAATAACCCTACTGAATTGGATCTGGCCTAGTTGATGTTTTTTTGTTGAAATAACTGTTTCTTCTTAGTTTTTTCTTATCAGTTTTGTATATTATGGTTGTGTGTTACACCTAATGTTGTTAAATTAATGTTTATTGCATTTTTTAAGTTTCATGTGTGTTACAATGATGCTGTTTGGTGTTTGTGTGAATGACACTGTGCACCTTCTATATATGTTATTATTTAAAAGTTGCTTGTGATGGGCTTTGGTTCATCATGTGACTTTCTCATCACCACCTGCATTTGGTGGTTATCAGTGTATTACAAAACAGATTTCAGTACTTCAATAGGTTGGTACATTAACATTATATCAGTTAATGAAAATACGGTATTTAACTGTAAATTTAAGTTAAAACCATAAAACCTAAAATGTTGCTACCGTATTTTTTACAACCACAGCTGCCGTTTTTTTACCTTAAATTTTACTGATTTTTTTTTTACAGTGTAGTCTTGTCTGAAATTATACTGTGTCCAAATAATATTTACATTTATGATCTCACCAAATGCTTTCTTACAAATCAAAGTGCACAAACAAAATGTACATACAATAAATTAAAAAAAATCTTGTTAGTTCTCCAGCATGTATGGTAGAAAAAAGAGAAAGCAGTGCACATTCTGGTTCGCTGTGTTTTTAAATATTTGGGGGTGATAATTTTAAACGTAAATTTATAAAAAAGTTAACGCAACCATAGCATTCTCAAAGATATTCAATCAATTGCTTGAAAATTTGTATATTGTGGTTCAACTATGTATATTGTGGTTGACTATTAGTCAATAAAGTAATGCATTTTAAGAAAAAAATATATATAAAACTGATTCATCAATTCATAAAAATTCATAAATTCAAGGGTATTACACTAACAATCAACAATGTAAATACAATGGTACATGAATATAACATACCATTGTACATCTACACTGGACCATGACACATTATTTTGACATATTATTTCAGCCATAGTAGTTTTTTGTTAGGGTAATATTGGACCTGTGGATCTGTACATGAAATGAAACAGGCTACAAAAATGAGGAATAATAATAATTAAAAAAAAATTATATATCAAGGAATTGTTTTCAATGTTTGATGTTTAGAGGTATTCATCAATTTGGATGCACTCAATCAATGGGCCAACAACACCATCAGCTAAAATAATGAGTCAAATATTCAGGCTTTTATACAGGTGGGAAAAAAATACCATGACAATTAATATTCAAACAACTGATTTACAATTTATAAAGTACAACTATGATATGTTTTTACAATCTTTTCACAAATCCACGAGGAAGGAACCAGACACTATAAGTGAGAGCTAAATTATGTTCAACAACACAAAATATTGCCCCTACATTCAAAAGATGCCCAACATTTCAAAAACAAGAACAAGTCAAGCACTTACCTTGAATTAACATCCTAACTTTGACTTGTTTGTGATCTGTTTCTGTATTATTAACACAACGCATAACACACAAATGTACTGGCAAAGGCTGAAGGGAAGCGACCTTCAGTGGTCACGTGATCTTAGGGGCGTGACTTCACGAAAAAAACATGGCTGCGCCCGGAGAGATCATGTTGGATTAATCTGCTATTTGTGAACGATCTAGGCATTATAATATAAAATGCATTCATAAATAAGATTGTTTACTTATAACTGAAGTGACAATGAAGACATTTTGCGGTCGTGCAAATCCAACAACCGGAGCGCTGGATTGGGTTGAGGAAAGCGAGGAGTATGATTACCATCAGGAGATTGCGAGGTGTGTAAACCATCTCATGTAACATCACCATGCGTCGACAACAACTGATCTGTGCCTGGTTCTGTAGGAGTCATCAATGATATTGTTTTCAAAAATTAAACTTATCAAATGACGCGGTGAAAATACTTGACAGTGACTTGTTGTTATTGTTGTTCGTACACGTGGAAACTGTGTTGTGGTAACAGTGCTAGATTATCAATTACACTTAATCGAATTGTAGTCATGTGATATCCTATCATGGGACGGGGGGTAAATTATCTGGGCATATCCTGATGATAATAGTTGGTGTGTCTTTCCCAGATCCGGCTATGCAGATATGCTCCATGATAAAGACAGAGTGAGTATTGTTGCTGGACACATTCATACACGACATAGCATAGAAATGCTGGAAACCAAAATAATGGTTCTAAAACAAGTCTATCTCCTATGATGAAGGGCAATTTGCAAAATAAGCTATTTTAAGTTTCATGTAAAAAAGAAAATCGGAATGATTAAATGATGATAGAATGTTTAATTCTTGGGTGAACTATCCCTTTAAGATTAGTTGTCATATTTTCCAAAGCATATGGACTGAAAATCACCCAGTTTTAAACACGGAGTAGCTGATATGTTGCTAAGCTTTGATCTTTATGCTTTGTGTAATAAAGAATGAGAAATACTACCAGGGCATTCGAGCAGCGGTGAGCAGAGTAAAGGCACGCGGTGAACAGGTGGTGGTCCTGGACATCGGCACTGGGACGGGTTTGCTCTCCATGATGGCTGTGACGGCTGGAGCCGATTATTGCTATGCTATAGAGGTGCTCACTAATGCTCATGTATTAAATTTGGAGTAATAAGAAGAAATTTGAATGAATCAAATATATGAATCCCATTCAGGTGTTTAAACCCATGGCACAGGCTGCCACTTGCATCGTGGAGAGGAACGGCTTCTCAGATAAAATCAAGGTCATCAACAAACACTCCACAGAGGTTACAGTTGGACCAGGTTAGACAACCACCAATATGCTTATTATACAGGTAGATCAGATGTGTTCAATGCATTGCTTTCATATAGTAGTAATTATACAACTGATAATTACAGTCCTGACTGTTGATTGGTCAGTACAGTTTTCCAGCCATTTTAAAATATATGATCATATATTGTATAACTACCTACTGTGTCTATCACTGTGCGGCAACCATAGTCAATATTATAAATTATATTTTTTTATGGAATGTTTGAATATTATAAAATAGTAAAATTATATACATATAGTCTAAAGATTTATAATATACTTTTTATTTTAATAGTTTGTATATTAAATAATATGACATTTTATTGACAATATATTAATAAAATATATGTATGTGTATATATATTAATTATATATGTGTATTTATATATTTATATATATATATATACACATATATTATTTTAATTTGTTAGGTTACATATTTTAATTAAATGAATGATAATTTAAAATATTCAAATTATATACATATAATTGTAATATTTTCCATTTCCATTTCCATTTTATTTAATATTTTATATATTAATAATAATAAATAATATTATTATACATATTTAATTATATACATATTATATATGTGTGAAGGTTAAGATAAGTGGATAGATAGATAGATAGATAGACAGATAGATAGATAGATAGATAGATAGACAGACAAAATCAACTTGAATTTGTGCCAAATTGTAAATATTGTAATGAACACCATCAACTGTATCACCTTGCATTGCATTCTTGCAAATATAAATGTATTTGTATCTGTAGATGGAGACATGCAAGAACGAGCTAACATCCTTGTAACGGAGCTGTTTGACACAGAGCTGATCGGTGAAGGAGCATTGCCCAGCTATGAACATGCACACATGCACCTCGTCCAGGTACGTACAGTTGTAAATTGCAGTTTAACTTTTTGCTGCATCTTTTAAGTGTTTAATGGAGTTGCTCTCACTGGCACAGGCAGATTGTGAAGCTGTGCCACATCGTGCCACGGTCTATGCCCAGCTGGTGGAGTCGGATATGCTGTGGAAATTGTCACAGCTCCAACCCATAGAGGTGGATGGGAACAAACTGCTGCCCCCTCCTGCTGTGGTGAAGTGTGCAGGAGCGCCCTCTGTCTGTGATATCCAGCTTAGCCAGGTGCCACCAGAGTCTTTCACTCCCCTCGGGCCCATCTGCACCATGTTCAGGTACAAGTCTGGATGTAATTTAGCTGTCTGGATTAAAATGGGGTCCGTTTTTTTTTCTGTGTAACTCATCTATTCTTCCGCTCTAGGGTGGATTTCAGCAAACAGGTTAGTAGCGCTGCTCAGTCCTACACGGCACAGTTCAAAGCACAGACCAGCGGGAGAGCACAGGTGGTCTTATCCTGGTGGGACATCGACATGGACCCTGATGGCAGCATTGTGTGCACTATGACCCCCAGTTGGAACTACTCAGATCCTCATACTTACCCTGTATGTACTGGTGCTTAGCCACTAATATTTGTGTATGAATATCAAAAATATGTCCAAGTAATCTTTCACCCCAAAATAATTCAAAGTAAAAAATGAAGAAATTATGTTTTGCATAGAAAAGAAGCTTATATTTAGTCCCATTATTTACATTATTTTCATGAAAATTAAAGCACACCACCCAAATCTATAAATGTTAATTTTGTATTTGAATTGTTTTGAAGATTGTTTGTAAATCTCATTATTGTCATTAATAATTCTTATGAGATCTTTTACTGTAATACATAAAATCAGGCTTTCCCTGCATATATAATGACAAGAATATTGATTTATAAATACTTTTCATCAATGCATTTATTTTCATTATAGTAAAACATATTTTTGTAAATGAAAAAAGATATTTTTAGCAATACAAAGAGTTAATGAATATTAATGTTCTTTCTTGACTTTTTAATCGTGTCACAATGCAAAATAAAATCTAATTAAATAATGTTCCTAAAAAGGGTTTAATTTTATTCAATATAATGATTTAAAAAAAATGAAAATATTAGTGAACAATAATATAAACATTTTGGGCTGAATGTCTTTGCAAGAGGTTCCTCTAATACGAACCCTTAATGAAAATAAACTTTCTTTGGCTTGATATATAAATATGTTTGATTATTTTTCATCATGTGATGTGCAGTGGAGGGATCACTGGATGCAGAGTGTCTACTTCCTGCCTGCAGAGAAGAATGTGTCAGAAGGAGAAGAGCTGAATTTAATCGTCTCCCATGATGACTACAGTCTCTGGTACAGCCTTACGCACAAGTAAGGTGATTTTGAGCAGTGTTTAGGCATGATAAGTTCTCAACTTTAACCAAGACAGAACTTAAAGAGTCTCCGAGGAAGACAATATTATATTTTTGACAATCTGTCTTATAGTGTACAAAATGATGTCAAAGTGGCAACGTTTCGGCCATGCTGCACCTGTCAGGCCCATCTGGTCTGGACGAGGCCTCGCTTCGGGGAACTGAATGACAAGCAGAGGACTGAGAGTTATGTGAACGCATTACGCCGTGTAAGTTAACTGTTGATTTACATGTGAGCTTGAAGCGCTGCTTTCTGTTGACTGGCAATGGCTCAAAATTGAGTGTGTTTCATGTCTGCTTGCAGATTGTGAAACCAGACAGTGTGTGTTTGTCTGTCAGTGATGGGAGCCTGTTACCCATTTTTGCTCATCTACTTGGGTCTAAAAAGGTGAGAAGGCCTTTTTTTTTTTTTTTCAGAGTCAGAAGGTTCACAAATTAGCAAGCTCCCTTCTCCCTACACAGACAGCTGCCTTCTGAGGCAGCATCCTAAGCTTCTTGGAAAGTTTTAAGTAAATTATATGCAACTCTATGCACTCGATTTCAGTAGCGTTTGATGTTAGCATGTTGCTAAGCAAATAATGCAATATTGGGTAAATAATCTGTTTTGAATGAAAATAAATTATTTTTAGCAAGTAAGTCATAAATGTAAATAAATTATAAGCAGCCTGTGTACTACACTACTTGAAATTGCAATATTGGGCAAATAATCTGTTTTGAGTTAACCTGAACTATTTATATCAATACTTTTAAGTATTGAATGAATAACTGACATTTTTCTTGCCTTATCTGTTGTCTTTGATTCATTTTTTTCTGTGAAGGATAAATGCTGCGTTACCTTAAAATTGATCCAAAATAAGGTATCCTAGGAGGCAATACAATTAATAAAAAAACTGTCTAGGTAGGCAGCTCACTAGGTTTTGGAACAGAACATACTGTATATGAATCTTTCTTTCTGTCTCTTTCTGTCTTTTCAGGTGTTCAGTTTGGAAAGCTCTGGAATGGCGAAACAAGTGATCGAACAGGTTAGATTTTGAATCTAAAAACAATTACCTACATGAGTTCAGACAGGATTGGTTGGTAATGAAAAGATTTATCTTCTGCTCACAGGCGCTGAATACTACCTCACTGAAGCATGGAGTACAGCTGCTGGGAATACGACCTGAGCAGCTCTCATTAGCTGATTTAGAAGGAAATCAGGTACAAACTGAACTGAATCTGCATAGACCATGATGCCCTCTGTATATACTTTTCAAGCATTTGTAGAGTTTCAAAGACTCTGCACAATTTGAAATTACTACAACAACAATTTAAATACACCCCCATTCAAAAGTTTGGGGTCAGCAAGGTAATTTATTATTTAATTGATAATTTTACAAAAGATTTCCATTGTAAATAAATTTTGTTCTTTTGAACTTTCTATTTATCAAATAATCCTGAAAAAAAAAAAATCACAGTTTCCACTAAAATATTAAGCAGCGCAGCTGTTTTCAATAATCAATCAATAAGAAATTAAAAATAGAAAACATTTAAACGGTTGTGTATATCTAGTGTACTTGTACATATATAGTGACCTTATATTTTTTACCCTTCAGATTTCAGTATTGATGGGAGAGCCGTACTTTAGCACCAGTCTTCTGCCGTGGCACTCTCTGTTTTTCTGGTATTGCCGCACCGCTGTGGCGCAAAAATAAAACTAAAAGCTCAGGTGAGAATATGCTAGTCTCTAGAGAACCAATTTTGTTTACAGCAAAGGAAAACCAGTCTCCTCTTGGCTTATATCGAAATCTTCCAACTAGGGCTGTGCAAATAATCGAATGTGATTTTCATGCGCCTCTCCTCAGTAAAGCCGGTTCTGTGATTAGTAGTAAATCTCCAGTACGTGCGTTCAGATGGAGTGGCATTTACTGGACAGAGCCGTAGATCACTGACAAGCTACGCAAAATCTCGTTCATAATCGGCAATGAATTGCCTGCGATTTTGAATGCTATATTGTGTAGCTTGTCAGCCCTACTTCCAACATTTTCCTTTACATTTTGTACTTTTAATTTGTGACCGGTGTTTTGCTCTCTCCTCTGTGCTTCCGCATTCGTCACTTCTCACCAAAGCTTATGCTACTCTCGTGAACGTGCGTACTACAGATACCTTTGACAGCTCTTTGGTCTTGGCCATGGTGGAGTTTGGAGTGTGACAGTTTGAGGTTGTGGACAGATGTCTTTTATACTGATAACGAGTTCAAACAGATGCCATTAATACAGGTAACGAGTGGAGGACAGAGGAGCCTCTTAAAGAAGAAGTTACAGGGCTGTGAGAGCCAGAAATCTTGCTTGTTTGTAGGGGACCAAATACTTATTTTACAGAGGAATTTACCAATTAATTCTTTAAAAATCCTACAATGTGATTTTCTGGATTTTTTTTCTCATTTTGTCTCTCATATTTGAGGTATACCTATGATGAAAATTACAGGCCTCTCTCATCTTTTTAAGTGGGAGAACTTGCACAATTGGTGGCTGACTAAATACTTTTTTTCCCCACTGTATATTTATATATATATTGGATAAATGACTATCACTTGTTTAAAAACTGAGTTCACTTGTAATTAAAATGATGGATTGTTATGGGTTGGATTAATATTATAATTTTATAAATGATTAAATTATATTATTGTGAATTTGTTTATGATTATTTCTGATAAATGATAGTATCACTGGTTTAAAAACGGAGTTCACTTGTTTTGTTGTAATTAACATTAGAGGGATTAATATTGATTATATTATGTTATATTATTGGACAAATAATAATAATGCATTAATATATTGTGGATAAATAATACATTTTGTTGTTATATTTAAAACCTACATGGATTATTTTTTATGCATTAGATCAAAGACAACAGCTGAGTTTCTGAGAGATGCAGTGGAGATGAGACTGCGGATGTTGATTCCTTATATTGACACATGGCCTCAGGTATCCTCTGCCTCATGCGAACTCCCCTCTCAAAACTTCAGATTTTCCATCTTTAATAAGCAATAATTTATAAGAAATGATGGATGCCCTCAGTGTTTTGTCTCTTCTGGCTTTGCAGGCCATGAGCATCCTGCTACTGCCCCACAACATCCCCGACAGCCTGAAACACCTGTCCACGATGGTGGATGACATCTGGTACTACGCAGGCGATCGCTCGACGGACGTGAGTGACTTCTTTGATCCCACTTGCTACCTTCTTCTATGCTTTGGTCTGCTCATCCACCTGTATTTCTTCTGTGTGTTTCTTAGGTCAACTGGTACACAAAGCGGGCGGCACTGACAGGGATCTATAACACCACAGAGCTGGTGATGGTACAGGACTCGTCTCCTGACTTCGAAGAGACATGGGCCTTCCTCGATAATCGCATAAAGGATGTAGTTAACATGGCGAACACGGCTAAACAGGTTAAAGCGGTCTTGCTTTCCATAGCTAATGAGAGGCATACAAAAAATACATATTTTTGTTTTTTTCCTCCTGATATGTAATAACCAAATTGTATTATTACTAATATACTGGATAATGTTTGTTCTAGGTGCAAGCCACAGGAGAAGCCGTGGTTCAAGGACTCATGGGAGCCGCAATTACGGTAACCAGGCTAAAATGATACAATTTTCAGCTAGTACCTAGTAACTAATACCAAGTCACCTATTATGAATGATCTGTATTTCAGTGATTATATGAAAAAAGTTGTTCACACATGTTTAAGTCTAGCAAATAGTTCATTTGTATTTTATATAATCTTAAATGAATTATAAATATTAATAATTATTATAGATTTGAATAATGATAAAATGTGCATTAATATAATATAAAACAAATATCATATAATAATAATATTTTAAATTAATAATTCCCCTTTTAATTTAGTAAATACTTATTTAATGTTTTAAATTAAATATTTTGATGTTTCATTTTAGAACATAAAAAAAAAATCACTGAAACCAATGTTAAAATGTTTAAAAATGTATTCATTTATTATTTGTTTATTTAGTTATTTAATTATAATAGTAAGCTCTCTTCTCACTCAGCTGAAGAACCTAACAGGGATGAACCAGAGACGATGAGTTACTTCTGATGCTCCGGCCTTCATTTTTTTCACATCTTTTACTCACTGAGTGACCCCTCGGCCACGCTGCATGAATGTCTAATACCTCAATCACCCGCTCTAAACCAACTAAACTATTTGAAGTGATCACAATGAAAGTGTTTGTGTTACGATAGATGCAGAGAAGGAGCCCGTTTTCCGGCATTTCTCTGCATTTGTAAAAAGAACGAATATAAATGTAAATTGTATTCGAGAGTCCTATGTTCATACGGTTTGTGCCAGACTCACTGGCGAGTCCCTCATTAAAAGAAAATAAAGGGTAGCCTATTTACTGAAGTGTCTTAGTCTGTTATTTTTGTTGCTGCAGAGTGAATTCTCATATTAAATATTATATCTCATTAATAAATATTACGGTTTACAGTAGTACCCATAACTTAGTGAACATGCTATTTTGAGATAATACCATAATGACTTAATTAGTGAGCGCTAACAATGCATTTCGTTACAAGTCCTTAAAAAGACCCTCAAAATATGACGTTTAATCTAGTTTGACGCAAGAAGACTTCTCAAGACCTTTATTTTTAACCGGAAATGGTGCTACAGTGAACCGGATGCTAACGGAATGTGGGCAGCTAGTGACCAATGAGCTTCTGTCGTTTGTTATTGTGCGGAAGAGGCGCTCGATGCTGGAGCTTACGAGCAACAGACCGCACATACAGTTATTTTATTTATTAGCGTCTTAATCTTGAGCCTAATTTCGCTATGCCGTATGCCAACCAGCCCACAGTGAAAATCACGGAGCTGACGGACGAGAATGTGAAGTTTGTGATCGAGAACACGGATCTCGCGTGAGTGATCCAACGATCAAAACGACCCTTTAGCGTTTAATTAAAGCAAGCGTGTTATATTAATGACACTGATGTGCATGTTTATTTTGTCTCTAACAAAAATATGTGTTTAAATTTCGTCGGAGTAACGCAAATACTGTGGTAACTTATATGCATCTGGTAAAAGCCGTGCTGTGTATAGTACCGTGGTATTACTGAACTGATGCCATCACTTTACCATGGTACTGCCATAGCCCTTTTTTTACTTTTTAAAAAAAGAACAACTTAATGTTTGAAATTTAATATGATACATATATATTTCATAAACATTTAAATATTGTCAATTTGTCATTCTCTCTCTGTGTGTGTGTGTGTGTGTGTGTGTGTGTGTGTGTGTGTGTGTACTGGTTTATATATCCTGGTGGGGACTTAAACCTGACTACACACAGACTCATGGGGACTCGTGTCACGGTGGGGACCTAAATTGTGGTCCCCACGGGTACAAAAGCTTATAAATC